ATTAATCTGGCCAAAATTCCAGGAGTACAGTCGTGAGTTAGGGTAGGAATGCGGGTGAACTACGGATCGCCAATCTGAGTGTTTTTCTAAGTTGACAGGAAGTTGCAAATAGTTGCCCAAATTCTTGAACTTACTGTCTAAGTGGTGGAGAGCAAGTTGCCCACAAAAGACAAAAAAGAAGTGAGAAAAATACAATTATCGTACATATTATATATTTTTTCTTCATTTTTTTACTTTCATTTTAATTCCGTAGCATGTTCGTTTTTATCATTGTGATTATTTTCTTAAGTGGATTAGAAGTGTCCAAGTACATTTCATATTTTTCTTTCACATGTTTGTTTTGATCATTGTGAATATTTTTTTCTAGATTATAAAGTTCCAGGTACTATATATGTATATATATATTTTTATTTTTTTTCATTCATTCATACTTCTCCATCATCAAATTTATCACCCCGATTATCCCAGGTGGATATTATGCATCGGAAGCAATCTTAATCTATGGTCAAGCCATCTAAAGACAAATAGTGAAGTGATAATGATAATTCCAAAAATGCCAGAATTAAATTGTAAAATTAAGGCAAACCTGGCATTTGCCAGAAATTAGGAGACCCATCCCATCCTCTTTGCTATATTCATTTGGGCTCCTGATGTCGATAATATCAAGCACTAGAAATGAAACACCGATCTGCATTTTTTATTGACAATATGACAAAGTCTCACCGATGCTTCTCACTGAACCATGGATCGTTGACTTGATAATTTCCTGCTATGTAGTTGCCAAAACAAGGGGATTACGCACCAAACTCTCGACAAACTCCAAACGTGCCTCTATTTCATTCGCCTTGAAATCGTCAACAAGCTAACCGCCGCCGCCGCCTCGTTGCCGGTGCCGTTAGCAAGCTTCTACTTATGCCGTAACAAGCCACTAAAGTCCCCTTCCCCATGCCGTCATTGTAGCCAGAGGGACCTGAACCAGCTTGTGACGCTTTAACTCGAGTGCAGCCCCATCTGATGAGGTAAAAGGTACCCGCATGTCCATCAGGTTGACCTGCTGTGATGCTGTCCATTGCTTCTTGACCTTGCATCTGAACGGTGGGTCCCGTGTTTGGATGCTCATGATCAATTGATGGATGGAGTTCGTCCTAGCTTACAAACACAATCGCTTTCCTCAAGCAGCTCACGCGGGCATCTATAATTACAATGCCTGTTCTTGCCCAGCACTACCAGTTTTAAGGAAATTCCCTGTTAAGGAAACGGCGGCTCAGAAGGAGAATCGCATTAGTGCCAGCCAGGTATGTAAACGTTTCACACGCGGTCCACCTCTGTCGGCACCGGCTCATTTGTTCTTTGATCGGCACCCCTGCTCGATCTGTTGATGAGATCGTCTCACTAATCACGACTGGTTTTTTACTTTGGAAAGAATCCTCCAGCAAGGACCAGACTAGTAGTCACACCAGCCATCGAGCACCACAAGGGGCAGGCAAGCAGCAAGGTGGTGAATGGTGAATGCCCAAAAGTCAACCCTGTCGTCAGACGGACTGGTATTACAGCGTGACTTTGAGCTTCTTTATTCACGCAACTTTATCTCTTACCGGTTTACTATTCCTGACGGCAGCGATGAGAGTGAAAAGATGAGTAGCATCTGGCGTTGACGTTTGCCATTTCGATTTCTCTGCTTTGCCGTCTGAAGTCTTCGTGCCTAACGTTCTACCGACTTCCGCGTTAGTTCAGAACCCAGAAATTGACTAAGGGATCTCGTTTAGAGTTTAACGTCGTCAGGAGACTACTATACAGAAGGACGGGGATGGATATTGTGATGCCAAACTTAGGAGCTGTGTCCTTTGAACTGCGTAGAGTACTAGGACTGGATAGGACGGAATGTTGACGTGCTGTACATGTTCTGTGACCGTTCAAGTTGCCGTTGGTTTGAAGGCTACTAACCACTATACAAGAACCTTGGACTTCTCGGCAGTTGACTGGCAGGCACGCCACGTCCACCAGTAAACATCTCTATTTAATCAATTCGCGGGACTGCGTGGGAAATCCCGGTTGATGAAAGTCAAATCCGTGGTTTGATACAATCCCTTGCAGGTTACCAGGAGCAGGCGGTGAATGACGTTTAGTTACTCCAGTATCGCAGGTGGACTGAGCCCTCGGAGGTGCATGGGTCTCGCAAACTAGAGGTCCGGGAAGTGCCATTATGCTCCAGTCAACGAGTTGACTCTTTACCAAGGGCCACGCATACTAGGAAGGACAGTCAGGATATTGCCTAGTATAGCGAAAGTACAAAGAGTTTCATACATTTCATCTTCCTGTACATCCTCCGTGCATACCCTCATATATATTGCCTTTCATGATTGACAAATTATTTCTACAATTATGAACCGATTGTTTTGGAAGTCAATTCTATATGTGCTACACTTATACAGCATTTCCTTATGTATGCTCCTTAATAAAAGCTTGTTTGCCCTCCAAGTGCGACCGGTTCTCTTTCATTGGTTGCGCTGCTGAATTGGCCATACAAATTACTGAAACATATTGCAAAACATCGAGCAAAATTAGCTGCTGTTCTTGCTTAGGAACTTCTTATTAAGTTGTAAGGCTGTATTTCTTTTCCAAATGATAGCTGCATTGCATAATTATTCTAAACACACGACATGACCCTTTTCTTTCTATACTTATAAACGTCGAACTTTGTCTATTTAATTCTTCTGCAATTTGATCAACCTTGCCGATCACTAATATACATTGATTTCAAAATAATAAGTATTTGATTCACAAGAAGTCAAAAAATTATGACAAAGTTTTTCAAAAGTAGGAGAAGCTGAATGTGACACGGAGCATGCTCATCAACGATATGCAATTTAATCTTTAGAAGAATGCACCTCAAGTCAATTATAAAATTGGGGTTAATAGGTAGCTTGGTAGATAAAACGGATTCCCTCGGTAATTCTGAGCCGAAATTTTTTATATAAGAAAATTCCTTACTCAAGTACCAGACTACTTAATGATTTTCAAGTTTCAAGAAAAACTTCAATAACTATTGCATGATTCTGATTTCAAAGAAGAAAATTGCATCAAAACCAGAAGTCATAGTATTTTGCATCCTCAAAAAGTTTATCATGTTGTCATTATGATAAGTTCATAGAAAATGGTGTTGATGAAAATTTGAACGTCTTGAACTTTAAAAATCCATTGTCATGCTTTTGCAGTTGTGTTGAACACATCTACACCTATTCATGGACCATTCATTCTCTCCGCAACACCCCCCACATAAGAAAAAACATGCTTAGTATCCTGAACTACAGTAGCCTTAGACAATCTACAAATCTCTGCAGGCAGAGCATGTGTTAAGCAAGTCATGATCTCACCACCAAACATATTCCTTGACAAGCCTAGAGATACTGTATATGCTTTTCAAAACTCAGGCCTACAGTACTACTGTCCTGGTCTCGGTCGATACTGGACACTGTTGGCTGTTTCCACGAGATACCTCCTTGTGCACAGGAACCTGGCCACCTATCTCGAGGACAGGCTAGGGTGTCATTCTGTAAAGTTGACAGAAGACCAGCCGGTTATCGATGCAGTCAGGCGGGCAAGCACCGATGTTGCGGTTGCCCGCTCTCACGTTTGGTCGTCATAGACCCAGACCTGGAAGGCGAAGTGAGGCAAAGATGGGGTCACAAGCCGTCTTCATTCCGTCCAGAAGGCAGCCCACGCTTCCATTATACAAGTCAAGGGGAAGAGGAGACTCTGGAGTATGGACTTAAGGGAACTGCAGGAGGTAAAGGACAATGAGCGAAGCTAGGGGCCTGAGGGAGGGAGTAGGTATGAGAATGGGAGAGCGGTGGCGTTGAAATCGACCATTCATCCTACTGGTCGCTCACTTATGCGGGGAATGAGAAGAGTTCGGTGCACACTTGAAGAGGCAACCTTTATGCAGCGCTCGCTGAAATAATTACCCATCCCTGTAAAGTTCATGTTTAGCGTGGAAGTACACTAATCTTATTTTAGTAGCTTAAGTCCACTTAATTAGGAGTTCATAAATAAATGTACTGATGAAGTATCTCGACTCAACATCACACAAGGCAATTGAACAATCCTATTGACTGGTCAATCCCTGCCACCGCAAGAGGTTTAGATCCACATTATGCCATCGGAGTTCAATCCTTGCCTATCGACTCTCTCTGTTTCGGTCTCGTACTCGTCGATGATCATAAGCCAATTTGATATGGATTGAGAAGTACGAGGTAAAACCCTGGAAATCCATTTTGAACATATAAGGATACATTTGGGCAGTTGAAAGGCCAAGGGAATGTGAAAAATATGCCACATGTGGTTCTAGCCGGCCACCAAGTTTTTTCGATACGTATGCGAACTTGTAAATAAAATTACAGGATAAACTAAAATTTACTTCCACATTTTGCAAAGTAAACCAGTTAAAAGTCTACAAGGGAGTGAGCAATCAAAACGTTTCGCCCTGCTAAATGTTCCACCCTTGATTTCATGAGTACTTCGTAAGTTATGAGAGTGTAAGAATTTGATACTAAAGATCAAGGCAAGATTAGTATGCGTATGTTTTGAGAGTGGATGAATTTCATACTAGAAATCAAAGCAAGATTAGTATGCGGGTAGTTGTATGAAGAAGTTGCAAATGTCAGAACCAGGTCTTACATTGCACATAACGTGAAGGATTCTGGTACATGAATTAATCTTCACCTGGTTTGCTATGTTAAATTTGTGCATACCACTGAATAGAAATGAAATACTTCATGAAGCTCATAACAAACTGTGGTTAGCAAATACGTATACGTATACGTATACGTATAAGAATAGTATATCGGGACATTCATCCAAATACGGCATGTAGGAGGATTGCGGTAGGGAATGCCCGCAATTCCCGCACGGAAGAGAGGAAGGAACCGAGGAACCAAGCCAGAGTATCAATCCATTAACCTGGAAGCAAAAGCACGAAGCAGAATCACAACTCCCAGGTCCAGGCTACAGAAGGCGAGAAAAGTCGTTGGTGAAGTTTGTGTTGTTGGCTTGGGTCGGGTTCAGCTCTGGCAGAGTCTTGCTTTCGGCTTCTTGTGACGTTTGCTGCGAGTTCCCAGGAGCAAAGCAAGTGTAGAGCATAGTCCATCTTGCGGAGAGTCCATTTGACGGTTCTTGCATACATGTTCCCACTGTCAGGAGGAAGAGGAGGAGAGGGATCAGCTGCGAGCAAGGTCTAGAAGGAGCAGCCGCAAAGGATCGTAGAACGGGGGTCCAAGGTCTCTCATCTTGCTGTTGTGCCGAGGCCATGCACCCCTTGTTAGCCTGAGTGGTGCATCATCGTCACCTTTGCTGATTATCACCTTGTCGAGTCTGGTCTACCGTCACAAGTCAAGAGGGTTGGTCATCTCTTGTTTGTAGTTTAGAGGCTGACGATACGGTTCACAATACTTCGCTTTCGCTCTTGGGACGATGCAGATTGAGAAATATCAAGGATCTACTAGGCATACGTTGACAGGCTTTGGGGCCTTCTCGGCCTGTGCACTTCTTGGTGTTCCGGGATGCTAGAGTTGATTTGAAGGACGTAGCGGACTTCTTTATCCGACCTTGCACAGGAGGAGGTGGTTTCTCTCGGCAAGGCTTACTTGTTTCTCTTGGAAGTGGCGAACTCATACATATCGACTTGCCTTCACTGTTGTCTTTCGTGTTCGTGTCTGGCTGATATTTTCATGTATGGCTGGCGCGAACAAGCATGCAAGTTACCGTGAAACCTAAGGGTGCTGTGATTAGCCATACATGCACATGTCAGTATTCCCATGCTTGCGGAGGGGCAGCGTTGAAGATGGAAGTCGACTGTTCTCCTCACTAGCCCGAGGTGTGGCATAGTCTGCTTTCCAGCCTTGAAAGGTGAACATGCTGCACTTGACACCCTTTCGCTTAGCATCCACGGAATCGTTTGTATGGAGTGCCCCGAACTACCTGGCTCGAAGCACCACCAAAGTACCTGTCGTTCTATTTTGAACTAGGAATGATTTGCTACTTTTCCCTTTGCTATTTGTTAAACCGGGATGTTTGAGGCCGAGTACCGGGACTGTGCCTGAAATAGGATACGACGGATGGGATTCAAGTCCTTATGCGAGGAGTCAATCGGCTAAGCTTGCATGCACCTGACACAAAGGCACACGAAAGTGCATTTTTCTTAGATTGGTTAGCAGATTTCAATACCCTCGTAGGTCTCCTTTTGTCCACTTCTCGTTTCTGATGCGTGACGTTTGACACCTACTTGACTATACTCGGCCCATGTGTTCGAAGACTAAGCGTCAGCTGGTTGTTGACTTTGCCCTAGTGTTTTGCGTCTTCCTTCTGTTGCTGTGTATCATCCCGCGGATATCCGGATAGCGTTTTCGAGGTTGCATCAAAAGTCCGTTGGTACTCCGTTGCCTATCTGAAGTTGATTGGCCTGCCGGAATGGCACTGATCGTGCATTTGGATGTTCTACTTACTAGCCGCACAGCCGACTAAGGGACGTTTTGAAAGTGAAGGTGGTTGTCGTTGTCTTAAGAATGATGACTCAGAGGAAATCGGGCGACGGAACAAAAGTTGCATTGTTTTTCTGAAAACTCAATCTGCCGATTGCCCTCTCATAATTGTCACGTCGAAATCCTTCGCATCGATCGGTCTTTTGCCTCTAACTTTATCCCCGTAACGTCGACATGTCGATTTTGGTCTGTGTGTTTGCCAGTGCCTCGGATTTTATTAGCAGTTGCGTGAGTACTTTCCAAGACGAGGACAGCGTACTGCTGCATGTCGTATATGTTTCTATCGTTGTCTTTCCATTTGACCGACAACTGCAGTCTGTTAATTGAAATTGAACTTACCAAGTTTGAACGAGGTTGAAATCATTCGGAGTCGTTGACTCGCGACTCCGAAGTGTTCTGAGAAGCCTTGCTTCCATCGCTTCTCCTGATCTTTCTCTGCATCAGTTTTCTGCCGGTGCATGTCCGTTTCAACCTCCAAATCTTAAAGTTCTCTATTTCTGAAGGGTCGTGTTCTTCCTTGCAGGTCTTAGGGTTCAAGTGGACCGAATTACTCTATAGGCCGCTTTTGGCGAACCGGAGGTTCTTTATTTTAGGACGATACTGAGGCTCTCTGTAGTAGTGAGGACGCGATGTTGGAGGTGAGGCACTACACCGGAAGAGACCATAACGTGGCGGAAGCAGCCCGAGTTGGTCTCGAGAATGCTCAGCGGTTGCTTCAGATTCTTTCTCAAAAGCAGACTGGTCAGGGATTCGAAGATGACAGCGCCATCGCTGAGGCCGTTGCAGCTGCTACGATTTCGAAGTTCAAGAAGGTGGTTTCATTGCTGAGTCGGACAGGACACGCCCGATTTCGACGAGGACCTCCAAACCCGTTTTCAGCCAATTTGGCAGGATTGCCTGGTGCTGCCTACACGGAGGCCCCTAATTATCAGTTTGTAGAGAATCTGAGCCCTGCGTCAGTTACTCCTCCTTACTCCCCACCCACTTCGTCGGATCTTGCTCTGCAGCAATTGTCTGCGTCTGCCCGTCAATTTCTTCCCTCTCAGAGCACATCATCTGGAGGTGCTAGTAGCGGCCCAGCAGATCCTTCCTCTGGACCTACTTTGCAGAGGCAGTTGCATCACCAAGTGCTGAGACATTCTCAGTCTCAGCAGGATATGCATCTCAAATCAGAGATGTTGATGGGGAAGGCCCCCAGTCTCAGCTTGGACAATTCGCTCACGTCTGCTCCAGTTTCCAATACTACGAAGTCCTTGCTATCCTCACTGAGCATTGACGGGACGGTTGTGAACGGGGTTGTGAATGGCGTTCTGAACGATAAGTCGGTCATAATGCCACATCAGTCCTTGCCTCCGAGTCGAGCCCGCAACAACCAAGTGACTTCCAGCAAGAGGAAGTGCACGAAGACCGACGAGGCAGGAGGCAAGTGTGCCACACTTGGGCGATGCCATTGTTCAAAGAGAAGGTAAAGTCTGGCCCTGCTGTTAGTTGGATGTTCATATACACTGCATCCTTGAACACTGAACTTAGAAATTGAGTTTGTCACAGTACTTTGTCGAAAGTCATGTGGAATACATATGATCCTGTTAACTGGGACAATTTCTGAATGAACAGCTTCGTAACTTGAAAACACTTTATGATGATTTAGCAAAGTATTCTAGTGTATAAACGATATTGGATTTGTATACAGTCTATCGAGTTCTGATAACGCAAGAGGAACTCGATAGACTGTATCAGTTCAGAACTGGATAGACTGTATAGAACACGAGCTGTGAGGACTTTGCACTGACCAGTATCCACCCTTCGCAGTTATCTCTACTACCGTGAACTTGAATTGCACAAGTTTGTTTGCCTTATCTCACATCTACACCCGCATCGCAGCTTTTTTTCATCCATACAGCTGTTGTACGTTTTACAGCTTTATCGGTTTCCCATTTCCTACCAGATCCCTGGCCGTCTTACGGCCTCACTTTCTAAATTTCCTTTCATTCAATCCGCGCAACCGGTATTTGCATTTGGTATATCCTTGCCGTCCTGTCTTTAAAGAATGCTGGCAACGTACACTATCATTTGCCTTTCTCTGGGAGATGTATTACACTGGTTCTGTGTTATTGAGTGCTTCGAAGTATGGTTTCTGAAAACAGATCTACAAGAAGATTGCTTGTTTGTAAGTAGTGGAAACACTGCTGGGTTGTAGTAGAGCTTGCTTTCACTAGTCTGAAGTATGTGGTACAAACTAGATGAACCTTCATGTTAGTACAGCAGTAATTGAGAGAAACAAAGGAACAACTGTTTTATATTTTTCGGGTCTTAATCTTTCCTCCTTCGCTTCTTTTATTATGCTCAGAAAGCAGAGAGTGAAGAAGATTATAAAGGTGCCTGCTATCAGCAGCAAGCTAGCTGATATCCCCCCAGATGATTACTCCTGGAGGAAGTATGGCCAGAAACCCATCAAGGGTTCACCCCATCCAAGGTACTGAAGAATTTCTGTGAAGGTTTTTCATGTGTTTGGTTTCTGCTCCATCCCGGGTGATTGAGCTGGTTGGACTGACGCACCTTCTTGTATATGGTGGTACAGAGGATATTACAAGTGCAGTAGCCAGCGAGGTTGCCCTGCAAGGAAACACGTGGAAAGGTTTCTGGATGATCCATCCATGCTCACTGTGACCTATGAGGGAGAACACACTCATCCTCGTCAGGTATCTGGGAACTCGGGACTCGTCGTCCATTCGTAGATAAATTGAGCTGTCTGAAGTACCTATGGTGGTGAGTTTTCCTCAGATCGCAAGATCTTTGATTGTCACCACGACTTAAGGGTCAATATGTGGATGTGGCTCCTCTTATTCCAACCTGTGGACGATCAATGTAGCCAAGTCCCTGTACAAACGAGGTGGACAAGAAACATGGACTTTTTGATCAAACACCATGGTTGTTTTTGTCTTATAGAAGTTGAGCTACAGATTTTTCGGAGGTATAGTTACTAGGTTGCTCCACAACAAGACCCATCTTGGAAAGGTGGCGAGCCTTTCCCTGCAAATTGCAGACACTTAGCTGTTGAATTTTACTGGGGTTGGCACTCGCAGCACTCGACCACAAATATGCGCGACCAACTCACTTTCGAAATGAGGAATGTAGAGATTTTGTTATAGGTTTATTGTTTAGACATCAGCCAGCTGTCTTATTAGACTCACCGTTTCACCAGGGACAATCAGGACAATAATCGGATGTAGAGATGGAGGTGCTAGACTTAGGATCTATCTACAGGTTATTGGGCCCCGAATGAACTGTATACTATGGGGGTTGAACAAACCAAGCAGCAGTCTGTGCAGAGCTAGGCCATGATGCAATTCCACCTGGACAAAACTGTTTTCTCTGCTGCGTATGATCAAAACGTTGGCCGTATGAACACGCCAGCCGTATCTTTTGTACCAAAGGTGAACAGGAAGTTTGCGTCTCTTAGTTATCCCGATAAACGTAAGTTTCTTGTAGAGATGGAATGGACGCAGAAATATTACACTTCTGAAGATACGGGCGATACGACGTAGAAGGGAAACATCGTGAACAGGATCATAGTTCATGAAAGGTTTGGAGTTGTCTCTCTGTTCTCCCTTGATAACTTTCCATTTAAACTAAGGCTGCTACGAAGGAGGTGCTAGTTAGCTAGTTCTGTGTCCCGGATTACTTCTGGTCCCTAGCCCTCGATCTTTATGTACATTTTTACATGGATAACCACCCCGCGATTTCACAGGTTCTTGTGCTAAGTGAGAAAATGTTGCCATCCAAGTTTTTTCCTAACTGTTCATTTGTGTAGAGAAACGCGACTTGTTCTCGCCATCAGAAAATAGTATGCAAATTTCATATAACGGTTACTTTTCTACACAGTTCTCTCCTCGTTGTCCTCGGGGCAGTATGTAGTACTACTAATGGAATGGCGGAAGAGGAAGAGGTACTGAAGCCTTGTGACAATAGTGATTGCATTAGTTGTGATAAACACAACACGTGCAGGAAATACAGAACCTTCCCTTGCAAGCCTAGTCTAAGAGACAGTAGGAAAATATCAGAAATATACACGCATTCATGTACGCACTCGATTTACCACCATATACTGGCCTATTCACGCACTAAGTACACGACGTATGAAATCTGCAAATAGAAATTAAAGAATTAACGAGATTTACTCTTGTTTTCTTGGGTGAGAGAATACCATGCCGAATAAATCTTGTACGGTCAATTAAGGTTGTAGATAGTAGTGGGAAGAAAAACGAAATCTGCAATACTGTTCCACTCTTCCGTTGTGGTTATCATGTAATATACTCGACAACAATTCGCTTGTTCTCTAATGAAGGGCTGTGCAAACGAAATGAAACGCCGATTACGTTTACGTCATGCATACACAATCTCACATGGAAAAATTTACAAATTTATAACGAGGAAAGTAAACAGATAGCAAGCGTAGGAAGATAATGTGTAACTTGAACAGAACATGTGCAGGTAGAATACCCTTGAAAAAACAAAGATGTACAACCGAAATCAATGCAAAATGAGGAAACTATTTGATGGGACCTTTGCCAAAAGCAAAAGGTTTCTTTTACCGAATGACATGACCCTAACCTTGCAGCTTACATTTGAATTTGGGCATGGGTCATGCTCCAGGTTGTACTATTGGTAGATTTTGGTTGCGAATCTCGCAGCATTTCTTCGGAAGCAATCACAGCAAGACCACGTCACCTTTGAAGTTACGCGGCGCGGCAAGATCAAACAATTATTCACGTCCACTTTGTAACGCGGCACAATTGCAATTGTTGTAGATTGGTCGTTGAGAAAGTTATTCTTCGTGGGTTGGTGACTACACCCAATGGCCCGGGACCCTAAACTTCTCTTCCGGCCTACTCGTTGCGCTGGCTAAAGTGTAAGTAAAGCCGCTTGACTCTCTATCATTTCTCTTGTCATCTTCTCTTCTCATTTCTACACTCGGGATGTTGCTGTTATCACTGTAAAACAATCTCTACTACCAGATGAACAAAGAAGGTATGAAATTCGCATCAGACTGTGAAGTGATATCTATAGTTGTGCGAGTAATTGTCTATCGCTTTCTCACGTGGCTTTATGTTCATAAAGCCTATGAGATGGTTTGAGAACTACAGTAGTCGCTAAAATACTCTCTCCCGTGAGAGTAGGTTAGGCCGATAGTGGCAGACATTCCCCCACAATGCTAATTATCGGGTTCTAAGAGTTTTTATTGAAACATGGCTGACGGTGGACTGCATGGCTGTGGAATGGGTCACATCGGGTTCAGTTCAGGTGGTAAGTGTGTTGTGTTTCCAGGGGTACCATCAAGTAATTTATTTTCTAAAAAATTTACTCATTCTTTACAGCAGATGAGTACAAAGTTCACATAGTACATCAGGTCACAAAATCAACTCACAACTGTTGATGGTGAAAATTAGCTCTGAGGGGTCGAGTATCTTTGAAAATGGCAACATAGATATAACCGGAAAGGCCATGTGAAATCGTGCAAACGATATATAGCATTAGTACAGGAAAGAAACGCGAATTTTGTTTTGTAGGGGAAGAACAGACCAATAACATGTACAATGGTTATATATAACAGTACATGACAGATAGTACAGACCACGCCCAACTCTGGACAGCTAGGAAAACGCATTCAGCAGAGTTAGAGGAACGAAAATGGTATGCTTAAGCGTACCATTCAAACGTACACCGAAAGGTAGAGAATTTGTTTTATCTTCCGTCGTGATGCTGTTTCAACGCAAAGCATGCGAAGTTAGCCAGTCAACGTTGCGCAGAAATCACGCCACTCTACTGTACACACGAGAAGAATAACAATCTATTCCACTACGACTTGCCAGTCCAGCTCGGCTGGACTTCCGCTGGCCGGAATAGCTTACACGCCAGTCAGACAACGAGTACATATTCAAAAGAAAGATACAGGAGAATCAAGCACCTATTTTTAGGCTGCAGACTTCATGATGTACACAGTTCACGAGCTATGTACAGTGTACCGTAGTGTGACCCTCAAACGATCTCAAGGAAACCCAAGTAATAAAGGAAAAGTATGGGATAAGTCTAACAGACACATTACTTAAGAACTTCATTATATATCGGGGAATTTCAAACCCACCCGTGTCACTCTCCCCGCATTTCTGACACAATTTCTACCATCAGAACCTTTTTCTTCCGTAATTTTGAGAATCATCATAAACTTAAATGCAAAAGTGTCATCCGCGAAAGTTTTAAGGCGCCACATATATTTCACTAAAAATTTATACAGAAGAACTTCGAACTGCTTTATGACTTTTTGGGAGTTTTATGTATTCAACCGCCCCAGCTCTAGCCCAGGAAAAAAGGTACTTGGATCAAAAATTTGTGTGAAGTAAGGTGCGGGATATGAAGGCGGTGTAATGGCAATAAGAGGTGTGGAATCCAAATACACATATGTCATAAAATTATGGCGGATATTATAGATAAACAAGTGTTAATACGATTCTTTCTACTGATCTTGCACAATATGGCTATACTAAAAAGCCTTAAAACCCTATAAAACTCTCTTTATTAAGAGAAGCATGTAGCCCCAAACATTAGAATAAGAGCATGTTGTACTTTTCTGATTGACTCAATCTTCTATATTTAAAGCATGCACATTAGGTGACCTTGATCACATTAGCGCCTCCATTCATCCTGTACTCCTTCGGGATGCTTTCGCTTTTGACTCTATGTACAGTATATACATATACTGCACATGTAACTATGCACATGATACACAAGACAAGATCAAAACAACGCACAATCATCCCACATGCAAATACATGGTTCATCCAAGCTCGGACCGCGTTCACGAGAATAACCAATTCTTTACTCCAATAACTTACAACATGAGTGAGACAAATCTTGCCCATATATATAAATATATACCTGAGTTTAGGCCTTCAAGTTTAGAGCTAACTAAAAATTAAGTATAGCCAAAATATGATAGACAAAAAATATAAAGAAGTAACTAAAAGAAACATATATTGTATTTGTGTTCTTTATGCAAAAATGCATAGTAGCACAATGTTTACTAAAATTTCCAAAAAAATTACTTTGGCCAACGCATCAACTGGATTAAATTTGTCGTCAATCTTGACTAGTCTATACTTCTATTACATATTGCATGTCTGATGAAATGATATTGACATGATTCCCTCTTATTTCCATTACTTTTTTTAAAGAAAAATGTTAAGCATTTTGGCTATCATAATGAAGATTGAAAACCACTTTGTTCAGTCTTATCTCTTTGATAAACTTATTTAATCAATTGACTTTTTTGGCTGGTTATGTTTTTCGCTACATATTCAACTTTTGTTATAAACCTAGCTACCCACTTCTTCAAGATATATTTCTAACTTAGTAACCCAAGAAAAGTATTCTCAAACATTTGAAGAATACTAAGGATTATCGTTTAATGATTTATTAAACAATGAAAAATCCTTGTTAGGATACGTTGATACTAACTCTGAAGAAGATCTGAACTAGAGAAAAATTTACAATTGAATATGATGATGATCGATGATGGATGCATTTTCTTGATTTGATGTTTACTTGTTCACCTTGCCCAAAGCTATAACAATATCAAACTTTGTGCACACCATCAAGTACATAACACTTTCCACAACTTTGTCGTAGTGAACACATGATATTTTTTCTTTTTTGATGACATCCGTTGAACATGGAACTGCGGATAATTTGAAATGTATAGTTTGAAATTTCAACATAACTCATATCTTTTTAGTATCTACAATGTTGAACTTGTTAAATGCACGTCTACTGTATTTGCCTTCATTCAATCAAATCATAATTTTCACCAAACCCCTATGAATGTTCATCCCAAATATACTCTTCAAATCATCCAAATGTCTCAACTTAAATGTGTACTTCACCTAACTCTTGGTTTACGTAGGTAAAGAGGGTTAAGGTTAGGGTTAAGGGTGAAGGGTTTTGACCGTTGTGGTTAGTTTAGGGTTGAGGGTTTTTTAAATTTTTTTAGGGTTAAGGGTTAAGGGGTTTTAGGGGTTGAGGGTTAAGGGTTAAGGGTTTAGGGTTTAGGGGTTAAGGGTTGAGGGTTTAGGGTTAAGGGGTTTAGGGTTTTTAGGGTTGAGGGTTGAGGGTTTAGGGTTGAGGGTTTAGGGTTTAGGGTTTTGGGTTTTGGGGTTTAGGGTTTTGGGTTTAGGGTTTTGGGGTTTAGGGTTTAGGGTTTTAGGGTTTAGGGTTTTAAGGGTTTAGGGTTAAGGGTTAAGGGGTTTAGGGTTTAGGGTTTAGGGTTTAGGGGTTTATAGGGTTTAGGGTTTAGGGTTTAGGGTTTAGGGTTTAGGGTTTAGGGTTTTTAGGGTTTAGGGTTTAGGGTTTAGGGTTTTAGGGTATATAGGGTTTAGGGTTTTAGGGTTTAGGGTTTAGGGTTTAGGGTTTAGGGTTTTAGGGTTTAGGGTTTAGGGTTTAGGGTTTAGGGTTTAGGGTTTAGGGTTTAGGGTTTTAGGGTTTAGGGGTTTAGGGGTTTAGGGTTTAGGGTTTAGGGTTTAGGGTTTTAGGGTTTAGGGTTTAGGGGTTTAGGGTTTAGGGTTTAGGGTTTAGGGTTTAGGGTTTAGGGTTTAGGGTTTAGGGTTTAGGGTTTAGGGTTTAGGGTTAGGGTTTAGGGTTTTAGGGTTTAGGGTTTAGGGTTTAGGGGTTTAGGGTTTAGGGTTTAGGGTTTTTAGGGTT